CCTCTCCCTTTACATCTGTGTTTGACTCCTGGGGGTCGGCCACAGAGAGCCGAGAGCCTGGGGCTGTATTTCAAAACGTCCACCAGGACATTCTGAGCGTGTTTGCAAACGCCCCGTGATTCTATGGGATTACCGGGGTTTTAGACTGCATTCCACGTCTTCCCCGTGGCATGGTCGCATACTTCTGAAGTGTCAGAGGGAGTAGATTCCTCTTTATCCAGACATTAAACATGCATGAAATCTCTAGGCGACGGGGTTTAAGAAGCTGCATCCGGTTTCCCTTTTACGATCTCCTAGGACGTATGACTATTCACGGAGGTTTCCGTTATTATTTGACACCAAGGAGCAAATGTAATTGTAGTTTTTTTTCCTGTTGTTCTTTTTTTAAAAAACTTTCTTGGTGCAACACGAGATCACAGTTGTCCAACACTTAATTTATGCCAGGTGCACCTTTGAGCTCTTTCTATGGCTCAGTTCTCTTGTGCCTCTTGCAACCTGAGATGCGGGAACTCTTAATTGTCCACAGTGTTACAGGGGAGGGACCCTGGGATGAGACAGAGTGAGGTCCTCTTTAAGCAGCTGTGACTGTCTTTTGTTGATGATAAACTTCCTCTAGAACAGTGGAATTCTGGACTCAGCTGGGTCGTCAGAATGTCTGCAGAAGCCACTGGCTGGATCCCAGCTGGACCACAGAGCTCCCTGGTGCCATCTTTAAGACAGGCACCTGTTCCCTAACCTGCGGTGCTACCCACGTACCAAAGGGACGCAAAGACTAACGTAATATGCAGTGGTGTGGGGAGAGTTTTGACGTCTTTCGAAGCCAGTGGGTGATGGGGAGGCAGGCAGTTGAGTGTCTGTGTCTCCAAGAAGAAGGAAACCTTCACCAAAGGTTAGAGTTGAGCCCCTTGCCCCATGCATTCGCCAGACTTCTTCAACTGGGTTTCCCTGCCGGCGCCATCACGTGCCCCTCCTCCGCATTCTGCACTGGTTGACGTACCCCACCTGTGATAGGAAACCCACATGTCCGCTAGAGGTAAAAAGAAATATAAAGGTCACAGAGCAGAAGTCTTCAAACGTGAGTGTTGTATACCAGGCTTTTAAAGCATGGGGCGGGGAACGGGTTTTCCTCAAGGCCATTTGTGCATTTACATGACATCATTCGTGGGCCATACAAGATGACCAACTCAAAACTCAGCCTGCTGTGGGTTTTTTGAATTTCGAGTCCCACCTGTGGTGGCCTTGGCAGGGCCAGGCCAAATGATTTTGCATACGTTCCCCACCCCACCCCTGTAAAGGGAAGAGTATTCTTGGTTACCCCACATGTGAACATCTTATTTTTATTGAAATGTGACTGTCATGTGCACAAACCCAGGATTAACCTTTTATGTTCAGCCTCGTATCACTGAAAAAGCCAGAACCGATTTACAAGGTAAATATGACTGAGGCCTAAAAGCACCCGAAAATGTTCAAGTCAGCGACGTTCGTCAGATGGCAATGGCTCATGTGCTGGGGAACAGAATCGCTGTACCCGGATGAGTATCATTCTCTCTGCTGGGCACAGGATCTTGGGGCAGCCAAGGTCTGTGTTGTGATGACCCAGCGCTCTGGCAGGCTTTGTTTCTGATTCAGTCTGGAGGGGGGCCTGGGAATGTGCATTTCTGACAGCTACCCAGTGTTAACGCTCGTAAACCAAGGACAGCATTTTGGAAACCACTGCCACATTCCAGTCATCAGGAAATTTTTTTTTTTTAAGATTGACTCATTGATTTGAAAGGCAGAGTTCTAGAGAGAGAGAGAAGGAGAGTCAGAGAGAGGTCTCCCATCTGCTGGTTCACTCAAATGGCTGCAAAGGCCGGAGCTGTACCTCTCTGAAGCCAGGAGCCAGAAGCTTCTTCCAGGGCTCCTACATGGGCACAGGGGCCCAACTACTCGGGCCATCCCTCTGCTGTTGTCCCAGGCGTACCAGCAGGGAGATGGATTGGAAGTGGAGCAGCCAACACCTATATGGGATGCCAGCCTCCATCAGGAAACTTTGTTCTCTACACATTCACAAGGAAACTTCAAAAAGTTAATGGAAAATGCAAAAAAAAAAAAAAAAAAAAAAGAAGAAGAAGAAGAAAGCTAAAATCCATATATATGAGAGTTCTTAAAAATTAATAGAAAATGAGTCTGAGGAAAAAGCTCTGCATGGATTTTGATTGGCTTTTGCGTGAGAATAACTTATCTTTTGATTCCAGTTTCCCACAAACTTTCTGAAGAGCTTTGTAAGCACAGAAGCATCATTAGCAGGTTGAGTCTGCCTCTGGTCCTTTCTCGTCATTCTGTGACAATAAAAGCGATGACTTTTGCTACAAGGTATGTGTTGATCAACTCAAATGCAAAAGCAGGCACTGAAGTTGAGTGTGCGCCCCGGTTACTGTCTGTCCACGGCTTTGTGTGTTACGAAGAAGAAAGTCAGAACTGACTTCCCGGGCAGGTGTCCATGTACCACCGCCTGAGAAACACAGCGTGGGTTGAGCATCACTCGGCAATGATGTGCAGGAAAAAAATAACGGTAAAAAGGACCGAGCTCTTTGTCTGTCAGCATGACAAAGGCACACAGAGGGAGCTGGAATCAAATCCTGTATCATGTTTTATTTTCCCTTTTAGCTCAAATCCCTCCATTCTGTTGAGATATTGGGTCTTTGTTATACAGCATGAACACTTTAAGTCTCATTGATTACATGTACCAGTTGGTGTGTGTTTGGGGCAGAGACCCAGCGGGGACTCTAGACCATGTCACGATGATGTACAGAGGTCCTGGGGTGGGGAGGTTCCGGTTCCAGTTCCGGTTTTCACATAGGTAAAATGCTGGCTCCCGGAGAGCACCTGGCCTCGTTCTGCAGCCAGTGGGCGTAAGATGTGGGCATTGGCCTGGTGTTGGGAAGCCCTTCCTAGTTGCCCAGGGTGGAACGGGCAGCTTTGGAAGGTTGGGGGCCATCCAGTGGTCTCCAGTGTCTTCATGACAGGGGCTTCCAGCCATTAAAGCCATGTGTCCAGGGCCTATTTGTGTGCAGAACGTCTACGATGTAGGGGGCTGGGGGGTTCTGAGCTTCCCCTCTTACCAGTCTCCAACAGTCACCCAAAGCAAGGATGTTGAATTGGAGCTGAAACCCATCTGAAGTGCATCCCAGCACAGTAGGTTCTCAGAGGCATCACCACCCCCATTTTTCCTCCCTCCCACCCCCCGCAGTCTCGCCCAGCTCCCTCAATCCCGTTACTCTGCCTGCCACTGGTCCAGCTCTCCAGATCTGCCACTTGGCATGTCCCCTCCAAATAGATGTCTAAATGCCTGCTTGCTCTTCTTCCATTGCTGGCCATGGCTTCCTTCCTGACCTTTCGTAGCAGGTGTACTGGCTTTACTGTCACCGTCTCCCGCTCCTGCTTCTGGGCCCCTCTCATTGACTTATGTGAGATGCCCACTCCCCGAGTCTGGCCGTCAGACTGTCAGTCACCTCCCGTGCATCTGTTCCCTGAGGACTGTGTTCTGCAAGTGCTCTAAACGGCTCTGTATTTGCCTTGTTCATTCCTGTCTTCATTTCTTGGTTTATGCATTTTCTCCCTCCATCCCTACATACAGCCAGCCGAAGGTAGAGCAGTTCACACACACACACACACACACACACACACACTGGTCTCCATTGCAGGTTCCTTGTCTCTTAATTAAACCTCTCCTGTGATCAAAAGCAGCCCAGCCCCACCTCTGCCCCCTCCTCCCCACTGGTAGGGATTGTGTTTATTTTAGGTGTGCCTGTTTCTCCCTATACTGAATCCAAAATGGCAGCCGCCGCTGGTTCCCCCATCACCAGCGTCTGTAGCCTTGCCCGAGACAGAGCAGCATCCAGCGACTGTTTGTGGAATAGACGTCTACGTGTCCGTCTCCCTGCCTCCATCCTCTGTAGGCTCTGAGCCAGGACCAGGTCTCAGCATGGGCCTGAAATGTGAGAATGAGCTCCGGCACCTGTCGGGGTCTGGAACGCTGACATTCGTGGGATCAGGCCTCGGGGTCTGAGTTGCTTCTCATTGGATTTGTTTTGACTGGGAATCCTGCTGCCTGTGTTTAAAACACAAACCCCCAGTGCTTTTCAACATTTGCAACCTCTGGGTAGGTGGGCGTTGCATCCCGATCGGGAACTCTCTTCAAAATGGTGTTCAGTTTGCACATCAGCAAAGTCAAAACCCTGCAGGAAGATGCTGCTGTTCTCTACGTTGGCTCTGGGCAGCAGCGGTGAAGCCCACCAGCGGAGAGGTGGGGCCAGGGCCCGCGGCAGAGTCGCACAGTCAACAATAGCATGAAAACTGAGGCTAAGAGACCACCGCAAGCAATCTCTCTGGTTATGGGCAAAGCGCCAGAGAGCTTCGCTTCACGGGGCTGAGGGGTCAGCGGGCACCTCGCCAGGCTGGGACTGGTGCCCCTTGTAGGGCAGGCCCTGTGTCTGTCGGCCTAGCCTCTCCCAGAACCCAGCTCGTGTACTGGGCGTGGAAAACCCCATGATGGCGAGACTCCTGTTACTCACGTCGCCCGGCCCTTCTTCCTGTCCTTTGGTCTGAATTTCTTCTTCAATATTCTTAGTGTGCCTGTGTTTTGATTAAAGCCCGTCTTGTGGGCTGGGGTGGAATTTTGCACTGATAATGTCAGACTGGTGCTCCAAAAGTTCTAGATCTGTGGTCTGCGGATTGGGGGTGCTCAGCTTGTGTAGCATTGAGTGCGAAGGGGGGGCCCCGGTTTACCAGGCGGTTGCTCAGGGCGCTCGCTCCTCGGTTTCTCCTTTCCCCATAGTTCATTGTCTGGGTCTCCACAGTTGATGTTCTTACCCCCGCTGAGGGTTCTGGGAAGAGGGTGAGGGCCTGCTGAGGTCAGCATGAAGGTGACAGTGCAGCCATGCTGCTCAGTCCCCGTGCTCCTCGCCCGTCCTCCCCACCGTGGAGCCCTGGTCTCACGCGTTGGTCTCTCCTTTCAGAGGTGTGAACATGTACGCCATGTTGACTGGGACCCTGCCCTTCACCGTGGAGCCTTTCAGCCTGAGAGCTTTGTACCAGAAGATGGTGGACAAGGAGATGAACCCCCTCCCCACCCAGCTCTCCACAGGTAACGCACCTGCTGCTCTCTCTGCACCCGGGGTCTCAGGGCGTCTGTCCTGCCTGGTGCAGGGGTACAGCAGTCCCCTCGCATGCACGGTAGGACACACAGCCCAAGGTCGTCCACTGATGCCTGCAACCCCACAGCGTGAGGGGCCCTGTACACACCTGTACTGTGCTCTCTCCTAAACATACGTTACTCTGATAAAGCATAAATAAGGAGAGATCTGTAGCAACAACCTAATGAAGCAGAACTGTGTACCTGGTAAGTTACTTATACCTATGAATTACTTATTTCTGGAATTCTCTATTTAACGTCTTTGGACTCTGGCTGACCGCTGCTGTGGATGGGGGTAGTAGCTACTGCGCTGGCTCTGTGGCCATGGAGTCCTGCCTCTCCCAGGACTTCAAGTGTCTTTCTGGCTTTGAAACCAGGTCTCAAGAGGTGGTTGGGTCCCGCCTCTCACAGCAGCCGCTGCCTTCATCCCTCCCCCCGCCCCCACTCCACCCTGCATCCATCCCTGTTGCATTGTCATCTCGAACCCCAGCCTCCTCCTGTTCTCCACCTGAAAGATCCTGGTAGGCGTGGCTGTTTGGAGACTCGCCCTACTGTAGCGTTGACTCGGAAAGGGGCTGTGCCTTTTGGAGTCCCCTCGCTGGAAAGAAATGCTGGTTGCTTTCAAGTCAGGCCTGTGATTGGTTTTGTCGCTTGAGTTTTTGAGCAGTTCAAAAGGTTCTAAATAGGACAGCGGTTCCGCGGCTTCCTTAGACTGAAGCGTCAGCTGTGTTTGGAGAAGTCCTCTGGCACTTCCCAGTTTGATCGCAGGTTTGGTTTTACAGCCAGTCAATTAGTACAATTTGATCTTTGGTTTGGTTTGCAACCCACTTCAGGCTCCTGGCCTCAGCTTGGTTTAGCCGGTCGTTCAATGGGCTCTTTAGAATAAACTCCGCCTCACCAAGATAAAGCTTGTGGGGGAAAAATTCCTGAACTTCAGTTTCCGATACTGGCCTGGAATAGAACGTTTTCTTTTACGACTGTCACACACTTTACTCTCCAGTTTCTGAGGCATCCGTGCACAGATCCGGGATTGTTGCGTTTGCCAAGTGAGATCCCAGAAATGCACGCTTGTGTTGGAAACGCTGGATTCAGCGCACCCTCGCGCCTCTGTCAGGCAGAGCGTGCCGTCTGTCCTCGGGCAGACAGGCGCAGGATTTCTGCTCCGAGGGCCGTAGCTCGCGCAGCTAGGAAATGCTCAATGGATTGCTAGGCTGGGGCCATGGAGCTTTCGTCGCGGTCCTAGGGTTGCACAGCGCCTGGAGACCTGTGCATGCGTCCGTTCGCTCCCTGCGCGCCTCATTTGCATTCACTTTCTCTACGACTGCGTGTCATGCACCCGTAATGTGTGAGGATGTTCTGGGTGCCCGGAAGACAAAGCACACACCAGACTGTCTTGATCCTTGTCAAGTCTACCTATCAATGGGCAAGCAATGAGGAGATAAATGAGTGTCTTGATGTTCAGTGGTGTGAGTGCTCTAGAGAAAATAAATCAGGATAAAGAGATAAAGTCGTTTTTTAAACAAGATTTAAAATAATGTTTTTATTGTGTTATAATTGTAGATTCATACACAGTTGTAATAAGTAATACAGATGGGGCTGGCGCTGTGGCATAGTAGGTTAAGCTTCCGCCTGTAGCGCCGGCATCCCATAGGGTCGCTGGTTCAAGTCCCAGCTGCTCCACTTCCAGTCCAGCTCCCTGCTGACGGCCTGGGAAAGCAGCAGAAGATGGCCCAAGTGCTTGGGCCCTGCTCTCACGTGGGAGACCTGGAAGAAGCTCCTAGCTCTGGCCGTTGCAGCCATTTAGGAAGTGAACCAGTGGATGGAAGACCCCTGTCTCTGCCTCTCTCTCTTTGCAACTCTGCCTCTCAAGCAAATAAATAAATCTTTAAAAAAAAAAAAAAAAGTAATACAGAGAACTCCACCCAGTTCCTCCACAACAGTTGTTTCTTGTTTAGCTAGTGAAATATCACCATTAGAAGATCAACATGGATGAGGTCTGTCGGCCTTATTCAGATGTTGCAAGGCTTATGTGTGCCCATGTGTGTTGGTGTTGATTTAGTTCTGTGCACTTTGATTCCACTTAGATCTCTGTGATGTCCCCACGGTCAAGCTGGGGTCCAGCTCCATCACGAGCTTCCCTGGTGCTGGCCCTGGAGCCACAGCTGCCTCCCTCCCTCCCACCCTCACCCCTGCCAGCAGCTCCTGTGTTCCACAACTCTGTAATTGTGGCATTTCAAGAATGCTGTGGCGGCACTTCAAAAAGTTCCTAGAAAATGGATTAGAAGACAAGCTGGCTTTGGTGTGTGCAAATCCACGCCCGTGAGGAGTCTTCGCAGAGGTCATGGGAAATGCATATTATGAAAAGACTATGCATGGGCTTCAATTTTTTTGCTACCAAATATAAACTTGTCGCTTATTCCATTTTCTATGAACTTAACAAAAAAAGATTTATTTATTTGAGAGGCAGAGTGAATGAAAGAGAGAGAATTATCCATCTGTTAGTTCACTCCCCAAATGTCTACAACAGCTAGGGCTGAAGTCAGGAGCCAGGAACCCCATCTGGGTCTCCCATGTAGGTGGCAGGAACCCAAATATTTGGACCATCATCCAGGTGCATTAGCAGGGAGCCGGATTGGAGCTGTGGAGAAGCCGGGACTCGAGTCAGGCGCTCAGATATGGAATGTGGGTATCCCAAGTAGGGACTTAACTCACTGCACCCACCGCTCTGAACTCTTTGAAGTACCCCCTATAACCCGTCCTTTGCAGGCTGTACTCAGTGACTTTTGATCGTGAAAATTAAATTTACCCTTAAAGAAGTAAAATTGCACCCTTAAAGATGCTAGAAAGATTCCAAAGGCAACGCCAAGGGAGAAATACTAGACGTGCTCTAGGTGGTGCCGGCGTCCCGGGGCCAGTGGCTCCGAGCAGACGCCTGCTCCTTCGGCCTTTGGCTCTGCACGTACTTGTCAGGGTGGATATTTGCATTCCTGCAACACAGGTGCCGTCGGGACTTGCCAAGCGTGAATTGCATTTCGAGACCTGATTTCCCAGGCAAGGAATCTAGTTCCCGCTTCACCTTTTTCATCAGGAAGGAGCGATATAAATCTCTCTCCTCAACCACAGCTTTAACCCTTTGTGCCAGGCCTCACGGGTGATACTGGTGCAGGGGAGGGTCTCTGGGGATGGGGGGCGGGGGTGGGTCTGGGCTGCCGACCTGGGTGATAAAGCTCAGGGCTGGGAACTGACCCAGCGAGGGAGGCCAGCTCTGTGCACCAGCTGCCAAGGTGGCCTAAGGGCATCTTTTTTGTTTGTTTGTTTACAGACTGAGTGACTTCCGCTTTGGGGCTCAGCTGCTGCCCCTCTGACAATGCCTTGGTTTTCAAACCCTCTGCACCCCGTACCTCCACCCCTGTCCAACCCCACCTGGCTCCTGTTACAGTCCCCCATCACACCATCCATGTACATCTAGAAATGCTAGTGCTCCAGAAACAGGAGTCGCTGTCGTTAGATGGCCATGTCACACAGCCTGCAAGGTGGCCACTCCTTACCAACCTCCCCTGGGAGGAACCTGTGTCTCAGAGCCGGCCTGGCTGCAACCCTGATTCACCCACGTCCCCGGCACTCCTGATCCTCTGCTTGCTTTATTGAGCGTAAAAGGTGACCTCCCCTTCAAAGACTGGAGGCTATTATCAGTTGTATGTACGCCTTTGAGTTCTGAGTGACGTCAGTATAACTGAAAATAGACCAGTTTTAATGTGTTTCATTAACACACGTCTTTATTCACATGATCCTGTCACTCCTGTTTGTAATAATCACATCTGTTCTGTCTTAATATTCTTTTTCGATGAAGTCTAAAGAACTTGTTTTTAACTAGATTTGAATTTTAAAAAAATGCGGCTTTATTACCCTGGTGAGTCTACGGAGCAGACTTCCAAAGAATCAGCCCACTTTGCTCTGATGTCCCTCGACAGTGTGGGCTTGGGGGCCGGGGGCTTCCAGTCTTTCTTCTAGACAGCTTCCCCTCGCATATCACAGAGGGGAGCGTGCCTTGGTGGCCGTGGAATGCCGCAGACAGCGACCCCTTCTGCACCCAGGCGGTGGCATGGCTGGTGCTAGGCAGACAGCAGCCACTGCATTCAGATAAGTAGGGTCGGGCGCCCTGAATTCCCCCCCTGGTGACGCAGAAGGAGAAGTGAGGGCCTCGTGAGGGCTGAGCCAGCGCTGGTGCGGATTTCTGGGAAAGCTCCCCCATCAGCCTCTAGCCCGGGAAGCAGCTTCCGGTGAGGAAAGATGATTAGAAGTGCAATGGCCCGGTGCCTTGGGACCCAGCCACACAGTCAGAGGTTGAGATGGACAGGGCTTTGCACTGCAGGCCCGAGTCCCACGGGCAGGGCGCCCTGGGTTCACACCCAACGGGCCTCCCCTTTTGGCCTCAGGGATTAGGGGTGTTCTGGAGCCTTCCACACACTTCTCAGAGCTCTTGAGGATGTCCTTAAAGTCCCTTTGGCTCTAGTGATGCATGTTTGTGACGTCCGACGACGAGCGGTTCTCCAGGAGAGAGATGAGCTAAAATGGCTTGTGCGTCAGCAGTTTGTGAGGATACAGAGCGCCTGGTTATGAAAACAGAGCAGCTGTGAGTGTGCATTTGGTTGTCTCTGGCTCCTCTGGTTAATCGCCCTGTGTTAGGCCCGGGTGTCCCCTGGGGGGCCGTGCAGGTGCTCTGCGGGTGGGTGACGGAGGTGTCTCGGGAAGCACTGTTAACCCAGCGGCCGTCCTGGTTTGGTTCCTTAAGTGCTCCTGGTTTTTCCCCTTTGGCCGATAAATGCCCCCAGTTAAGATCCGAGGACTCTTGCAAAGCACAGGTGTTGAGGGAAGGAAGACAGATTCCAGCAAGAGGAGCCTCTTTTTCTGGAGAGCTGCTGGGTGTTGAGAGCGTTGGAGAGCATTTTAGGAAAGTTTTATTTGGAGACCCAGCTTTAGAACTTACAGTACTCGGTGAACCTCATGACTGTGACGCCATCTACACATGTATTTTTATCCACTCCATTCTTTGTCTTTTTTAAATTGTTAAAACGATTTTTATCTTTGTTTGAAAGGCAGAGGGAGAGAGATAGGGCAGAGATCTTACACCTGCTGGTTTATTCCTCAGATGGCCAGGGCTGGGCCAGGTCACAGCTGGGGGCTCAGAACTCAATCCAGGACCCCACGTGGGTGGCAGAGACCCAAGTACTTGAGCTCACCTGCTGCCTCCCAGGGTGTGCATTAGCAGGAAGCTGGAATTGAGAGCGAACCTAGGACTTGAACCCAGATACTCAGATTTGGGATGTTAGTGCCCCAAGTCTTATCTGCTGCACCAAGCACCTGACCGTGTCCTCTACATCCTTAATGGGAAGTGACCTGCTGTTGGCCTCATGAGCTGCATGGAACCCACCCTGGGTGAGTTCCCTGGTGGCAACACCTAGCAAAGATAGTTTCTCTTGAGTTGATTCTGGTCACAAAACTGGCCTCTTTTTTGATGGCCTTGCTTCTACCCTGCAGAGAATGGGCTGACATAAGGCCCATCAGTCTTTAAAGAACAGGATCACAATGACACCTTGAAGCCTACAAGAAAGTGAGACTTTTTATGTGTTTGCTCGCGCTGCCAGATTATCTTAGAAAATCGAGGGATAGAAACATTTGGGGACCATGCAAAATAAGATGCTCTTTTCAGGATGTATTACTTAGTATGTCTTTTTTTTTTTTGACAGGCAGAGTGGACAGTAAGAGAGAGACAGAGAGAAAGGTCTTCCTTTGCCGTTGGTTCACCCTCCAATGGCCGCCGTGGCTGGCGTGCTGTGGCCGGTGCACCGCGTTGTTCCAAAGGCAGGAGCCAGGTGCTTCTCCTGGTCTCCCATGGGGTGCAGGGCCCAAGCACTTGGGCCATCCTCCACTGCACTCCCTGGCCACAGCAGAGAGCTGGCCTGGAAGAGGGGCAACTGGGACAGAATCCGGCGCCCCGACTGGTACTAGAACCCGGTGTGCCGGCGCCACAAGGCGGAGGATTAGCCTATTGAGCCACGACGCCAGCTGTATTACTTAGTATGTTGTAAAGTGGATGTCATGCACAAAGCTACATAAGATTTTTTATATGGAAGATACGTTCCATTAATATGCCATAAAATGCCGGCACTGCGGCTCACTAGGCTAATCCTCCGTCTGAGGCACCGGCACACCAGGTTCTAGTCCCGGTCGGGGCACCAGATTCTGTCCCGCTTGCTCTTCTTCCAGTCCAGCTCTCTGCTGTGGCCCGGGAGTGCAGTGGAGGATGGCCCAAGTGCTTGGGCCCTGCACCCGCATGGGAGACCAGGAGAAGCACCTGGCTTCTTCCATTGGATCAACGCGGTGCGCCAGCCGCAGCGGCCATTGTGGGGTGAACCAACGGAAGGAAGACCTTTCTCTCTGTCTCCCTCTCTCACTGTCTTCTCTGCCTGTCAAAAAAAAAAAAATGCCATAAAATAAGAAATCATAGAATAAGAAAGCACACGGTGCCAGGCCCCAAGCAGACAGGATCTCTTCATTTCGAAGGACTCCCTGGCGTCTGTGTGTGCGTGAGGGCGTGCTCTGTGGGCTCAGCCTGAGCAGCCTGGCAGCCTGTGACCTTCCTGCACATTGTAAACATATTTGAACGCGACGTGCAGTTGTCTCTATTGTTGCAATCAGAAAGGATGCCAATGCCCTGCTTGGAGATGAACTGTCTTCTGTCTCTGGTGGCTTGAGCTGACAGCAGGTGCACTGTAAAAGCTTGCTCCATGAAAGGAGACCCAAGGCATTTTCAAAAACGGCTTGTGTCCAAAATAGAAGGAAAGAGGTCGCAAGGATGTGATGGTTTTGCCAACAGTGCCTCGTATCCTTTCCTTACGCACCAACTCCAGCCTGATGTGACCTCAGCAAACTGCAAAATAAAGACAGACGTTCTTGGCGCACACACACTCTGCCCAAGCAGCGCCTTGTGCACAATCTAGGATTGTAAAATGCGAGTCACCATCAGAGTTTGTTTAACCCCAGCAAGGGCATGTCACTCACAGGGGTCGCATGGGCCCGCTGGGCTTGACCAGGTGGGCACCTGGGTGCACCTTCAGTTGCCAGGGCGTGGGGAGGAAGTGGGTGGCTGTGGAGAGTGACTGGAGAAGTAGGACCTGAAAGCAGGACGCCCCTGGCCCCCTGAGGCTATGAGGGTCCCACGATGAGAGCTGGTCAGAGGGTGCGCTTTAGTCGCCTGTCCCCCTCTGAGCTTCCCTGTGGGCCCAGCAGCCTTCGTAGCGAACAAGCATCCGATGCTGCCTTTCTGTCATCCCTCCAAGCCCGTGACCAGAGCATCTCTGTGGCTCACCCGCGAGCAGTGAGGAAAACCCTGCGGGTTGTATGGGGAACTGCAGGGCTTGGGCCAGCCTGAACTAGGTCTTGCTTTATCACCTTGGCAGTTGCATTGCTTAGACTGGAATCCCCTCTGTGGTGACCAGAGGGTTATGGGTTTTTAAAGGCAGGTGGAGCTCACCCCGGGCTCCATCGGCAGAGAGCAGATCAGAAGGGGCGCCTCCGCGTGCGGCCCACTCACTGGATGTGTTCTTGGCTCCCTGTCTTCCAGGAGCCATCAACTTCCTGCGCTCTCTCCTGGAACCAGACCCTGTGAAGAGGCCCAATATCCAGCAAGCACTGGCGAATCGCTGGCTCAATGAGAATTACACAGGCAAAGTGCCCTGCAATGTCACCTACCCCAACAGGTGAGTGGGACGCCCTCTCGGGCCAGGTGGCACGCACCCTGTGAGCATGCGTGGTTCTAGACAGGAAGCTGGGCACCACTCCAGGACAAGCCGCACCATCTCCCGGCTGCCCTTCCCCCACGCTGCACCCCAACGTCCACACGTGGGCCCATCACAGCCCACAGGCCCATCACGGCGCAGGAGGGCAAGGATGGGTGGGGCCATCCCGTGTGGCCGTGTGGGGGACACCTGGCAGAGAGGAGTGGAGGCCAAAGTCCAGGCCACATGCCCCTGGCCACGCCTTGCTCAGAGGGGCACCTCTGTTTAGTTCATGGGAAAGGGACCATTTACACAGGTGTGTGTGGGATGTCTGTCAGTGTGTATGTGCCTATGTATGTCTCTGTGTGTGGATCTGCCTGTGTTTACATACATGTACATGTGTCTGTATATATATAAGTATTATGTGTTTGTGTTGATGAGTATATCTGTATGTAATTGTGTGTTTGAGTTTATGAGTATATGTGCATAAGTGTATGTTTTTCTATGAAGCGTATGTGAGTGTGTGTGAGTTTTTCTGGTTGTGACTACATTTACATATGAGTACATTGTGTGTGTGTGAGTATGTGTGTCTGGGTGTGCCTGCATTTAGTGTATGTATAAGTGTGTGTGTACACGTGAGTACGTGTGTCTAGTCTACCTGTGTTTACATAGGTATGTTTACGAATATGCGTGTATCTGTAAATGTGTGGCTGTATTTACGCGTGTGTATGTATGTGTGTGTGTGCTGTGTGTGTGGTACAACCATGATCTCAGCTGCCGATGACGTCATACAGAGTCCCGTGACGCTGCCAGACCACTCCTTCTGCTGCTCTGGGTCCCCTGCCTTGACGTGTTGGGGCCCAGGGAAGGGAGACGGGTGCTGTGGGCTTCAGGCTGCACCTCCCTGGGCCGCGCCGTGAGGGTCTCTGCTGGCTTCCATAAGGACGTCTCTTCCAGACAGGACCCCCGGGCCAGGGGCGCTGTGGCCCAGCTTCTCCCCGTGGCAGTGGGCCTACGGAAAGCACGCCCTGTCCCTCCGTGGTCCTCACCTGGTGCGCGGCCTCCTGTGCTGCCCAACCATGGGGCCTCTAGAACTCGTATGGCGAACACCTGGCTGCAGAACCTCTGGGCTTGGAACCCCTTTTCCTCTTCCTTCAGACTGAGGGGGCCCTGCACAACCGACCAGGCCCAGAGTGGGGATGAGAAAAGCCCCGATCAAGGGACGCACAGACGAGAGAGGGCGGGGGAGGAGGTGTCCTCCGGGGCCGTATTTTCAGGATGCCTGAGAAGGTGCAGAAACATTCCCCGAGGCTTACCCACAGGGCTGAGTTCTGGGGGGAGCAGTGAGAGCCGTCCAGGGTAGGGGTTCTCGCAGAACCCAAGGGGCTGCGGGCTCTGTATCCACACCCGTGGCCCTGGAGGTGTTGGCTTCTCTCCGTTGCCTTCTAGAATTCTAGCTTCTGGCTCATGGGGGTAATGGGAGCAAACCTGGGGGGACTTAGGTTACCCAAGGAACCTGGAAATAGAAGAGCTTTTCCACCAGCAACTCAGTTTTCTGAAACACACACCGGCTGAGACAGAAAGCAGAGCTGGGGGCCGTGCCTCCTGCCCAGGGCACCTGCCCAGGAACACAGCACACAGGTGCTCTGCTAAAGGAAGAGGCCCCGGGGGGATGTCTCCAGCTAACCGGCTGTGTCTTCACCCACAGACAGTCGTGACGTAACAGCTCGTTCTGTAGCATCCGCACACTGTTGTAGCCACGCTTTGGAGATTAAAACCTAAATTCAGATTCCTGTGCTGGTTTTGCCGGATTGGCCATTTCTGCATTTGGATTTGGTCAGAAGGGTGTGGGCTGCTTACGCAGCTGCGGGGGCTGTGAAAATGGTGACGCTCTTCTATCTTAAAGGAAGCATCAGTTCTGGGTCTTCTCTCTGTGGAAGACCCAGTGCATTCCCATTACACGAGAGGCAAATCCGTGGTCAGTTGTAGATCATGAAGCCAGATTTCTAAACTGCTGTGGGAGGCCCGTGTGGGTCACAATCCTTATTTTGAGAAAATACTTATTTTTATGGCGAGAAATAGATTTTTGACCATTTTCCTGTTTTGATAAAATGAAAAAGAATGTGCAACCAGAGAAGGGAATCTTTTTTTTCGTCTTAGAGTTTCGCAACAAAGCGAGCGCCAGATTTAAGTGCTTTTGGGTGTCGCTGATGTTTTCCTTTTGGGAAAAGAAAAAGTAGAAGTAAAAGCCATGGCTTTACACTACCCTCCTGGGGCATCAGCTGGGCCTCTGAGTCGATCCCCAACAGGCTGAGTGGCAAATAGCTTTCGAGGCCCATGTTTTGCAGTAAATGCCCGTGCTGGTCAGTCGGCAGGGGTTCGCTGGGTGCCTGGCTCTGCACCCCAGTCTAGGTGCGGATGTCTCTGCAGAGCCTAACTCCTGACTCCAGTGCCTCTTCCTGTCTCCCCACAGGGGTCCCAGGCAGCTCCCACCTCTCCAATCAGCACAGGTGCATGGGTAACACAGAACAGAATTAGACCAGAGGGGTTGAAAATGGATTTAATGTGATTTTACTTAGTTCCCATTATATGCAGTGTCCTGGAACATTTTACCATCCTCTGTGTTATTCCAGACACGCAGAGATGACACAGATTCACAATGATGGTGCAAAGCACCAAGTATGGCCAGCGTTGTAGGGTAGAGTTTCAGACACACATAACTGTCGGTCAGGAGTCAGCTGACCACCTGTGCTTTGGGAGGGCACCCCTGTATCAGATAACATCAGGCAGAAGTGGTGTTTCTGTTGCTCACCTCCCAGCCCTAGCCCTGCCCAGCGACTCACACCCTCTGGGGCACCTGCTCTTGGCAGAGGGTGTGGCCATTGTGTATCATTGTAGGCTGCTCTGGGGTTGGATCATGGGCGTGACCTGAGTGGTCAAGGGCTGGGTTATAGGCGTGACCTGATTGGCCAGGGGTTAGATCATGGGTGTGGTCTGATTGGACCAGGGGCAGGGCCGTACCCACACCAGAATTACTAGGTATTTTCCAACAGCCTGCACCTTCTGTGTTAAGTGTTTTCTCGAAAAAAAAATTTTTTTTTTGAGAGGCAGAGTTAGAGAGAAAAAGACCTTCCATCCACTGGTTCACTCCCCAGATGGGCACAGTGGTCAGGGCGGGGCCAGGCCAAAGGCAGGAGCCAGGAGCTTCATCTGAGTCTGCCAAGTGGACGCAGGGGCCCAAGCACTTGGGCCGCCTTCTGCTTTCCCAGGCAAATGGGCAGGGGGCTGAATCGGAAGTGAAGCAGCCGGGGCTCAAACCGACCCAGACATGGGATGCCGGGGCTGCAGGCAATGGCTTTTACCCGCTACACCGCAGCGCCGGCCCCCATTTCTCTTTTTTAAATAAACATGCTATTAACATTGTTTACACTCGTTTCAATCCCCTTCCCACTCATTATCTAGAGTTTGTAATTTGGTAGCAAACGAGAGAGAGGAAGGCTGGTTTCATTGTTTGCTGGCTGGGTCTGTTGTTTATGTTTTTGGACAGCACGTAGTCCAGTCTATGGGAGGGAGAGCCAACGCCCACGGATGGCGGACAGTGGTTGGTGGTTAGCTTTGTTCCTGGCACCCCTAGCCACTGGCCCTGTGACGGGGCAAGTGCGTCTCCTCGTCTTTGTAGCGATGGCGTCACAGCCAGGGCTTCTCTGGGCGTTGTGGTCCTCAGCCTCTCTGCAAAGGGCCCCCTCGGGGTCTCTCCTGAGGCACTTGGAGGGTTCTGATGACACCGCCCCCCAAGGCCACTGTGCTCTCTCCCTCAGCAACCTCGGCTGACGGCCAGTTCCCTGTCACCGCTCGGCGTGGCTCTAAGAGGCGGTGAGAGGGGAGGTGTGCACCCAGACCCAGCGCCAGGCTGCCCAGGTTTTAACTCTGGGACTGCCACTTTTTAAAGATTTTATTTGAGGGTCAGAGTTACAGACAGAGAGAGGGAAAGAGAAAAAGTCCTTCCATCCGCTGGTTTATTCCCCAAATGGCTGCAACGACTGGATCTGGGCCGATTTGAAGCCAGGAGCCAGGAACTTGTTTGGGTTCCCCCATGCAGGTGTAGGGGCCCAAGGACGTGGGCCATCTTACACTGCTGTCCCAAGCCATAGCAGAGAGCTGGATTGCAGAAGGAGCAGCTGGGACTCGAACCGCTGCCCATATGGGATGCCGGCACTGCAGGCGGCGGCTTAGCCCACCACGCCACAGCGCTGGCTCCTGAATGGTATTTCTCTGATGTTTTGTCCCAAGAAGCTTCCTTTCCCACCCAAGAGGGCAGGTTAAGTGTGGGCTCCGCCCACGGCAATGCACACGTTTTAAGGAAATAATGTCTAATTGTAAAGAAATCGGGGGACCTTGGGGAGCTGGAGTATGATCTGAGCGCTAGGGGATACTAGGGAGTTCATCGGTACAGCAGGGACAGGTGAAGGCCAGTCACACAGTTCCCACCACGCCTCTGTAATCGTGCAGGGGGCGGGGAGCGGGCCATGCCGCGGGGTCTCTGCCGCCGTGCCTCCGAGCCTCTCTGAAGCTGGAGAGGTGACGCGGTGTCTCCCCACCTGGCAGGATTTCTCTGGAAGACCTGAGCCCCAGCGTGGTGCTGCACATGACGGAGAAGCTGGGCTACAAGAACAGCGACGTGGTCAACACGGTGCTCTCCAACCGCGCCTGCCACATCCTCGCCGTCTACTTCCTCCTCAACAAGAAGCTGGAGCGCTACCTGTCGGGGGTAAGCCGGCCCCTGGAGGGAGCCTCTGCCCTCAGACCGCCCCTGGGCGACACTTGAGCCCAGCTGCTGCTTTCCTAACGGGAGCCTGAGTTTCCAGAATGCGGATAGAGTAGCAGCCGAACCCGCTGCTCGGGTGGTGCTTTTTGTCTTTGGTGTTTTTTTGAAATATTCTCCCACGGAGCGAAGCCCCAGCTAGCGTGGGAGGATGGGGGGGTGGGGTGGGGGCTTCAAGCCTCTTTTTCCTTCCGCTTCTCTGTTGTATTTTTATTTATTTATTTTTAAGATTTCTTTATTTATTTGAAAGAGTTAGACAAAGAAGGGACAGAGAGGTCTTCCTTATCACTGGTTCATTCCCCAGGTGGCCACAATCATTGGTGCTGGGCCTGGCCGGAGCCAGGAGCTTCTTCCAGGTCTCCCATGCGGGTGCAGGGGCCCTAGCACTTGGGCCATCCTCCACTGCTTTCCCAGGGCATGAGCAGAGAGCTGGACTGGAAGTGGAGCAGCCAGGACTTGAACCGGTGCCCATATGGGATGCTGGCACTGCAGGCAGAGGCCTAACCTACTACACCGTGACCCCATTGTCTTTTCAGTGTGCTGCCACCTCTTAGCTCTGTGGGGCATTGGGGATTTCATATTCATCTCTACAGGATGGCACACGAGGTGGGTGTTCGGCACAGTGGCTAAGACACGGCCCTTGTCAGGATGCCACGGTTTGACTCCTACTGCTACTCCTGATTCCAGTTTCTAGCAGATGTGCATCCTGGGAGGCAGCAAGAGATTTTTTTTCTCTTGGGTACCGCTTGGGAACCTGCTGTTCGTGTGGGGGACCTGTATGAATTCTAGGCTCCTGGATCTGCCCTGGCCCAACCCCAAATGTTGTAGGTATTTGGGGAGTGAACCAATGGATAGAAACTCTCTCTGTCTCTCTGCCTTTTTTTTTTTTTTTTAAGATTTATTTATTTATTTGAGGGCAGAGTTACAGAGAGGCAGAGAGAGAGAAAGAGAGAGATTGATCTTCCATCCTCTGGCTCATTCCCCACATTGCTGCAGTGGGCGGAGCTGTGCAGATCCGAAGCCAGGAGTCAGGAGCTTCTTCCAGGTCTCCCACATGACTGCAGGGGCCCAAGGACCTGGACCATCTTCTACTGCTTTCCCAGGCCATAGCAGAGAGCTGGATCGGAAGTGGAGCAGCCAGGACTCAAACTAGAGCCCATATGGGATGCTGGCACTGCAGGTGGCGGCTTTACCCATTATGCCACAGCGCCGGCCCCTCTCTTTGCCTTTTAATAAATTAAAAAGCGAAACAAAAGCATATGGTGCATGAGAAAGCCACTGCTTGAATTTACGCCCCCAGATTATAATAACAGGTTACCCCTCACTAGCTGGATCACGGCACCTTCCCTCCGACTGCGTGGGGAAGTTCCTGTCCTGTGTCCTGTGTGAGACACAGTGGGGGAGCCCCACCACATGGGGTGGATAGTGAAACCCTGATAACCCCGTCCCCATCCTCATCCCTGTGGACCTGGGTAAGGGGATCAGCACGCTTCCATATCTAGTTTTGACTTAATCATCTCTCTCCAAATGGACAACGGCTTAAAATAAATCCTGCAAAGAAACCTGGTGTCTCTTTTCTGTTGCTGTAACCAAATCGCACAGAAGGGATACTCTATATAGAAAAGGGGTTTGTTTGACTCACAGTTCTGGAAGTTCAGGAGCTTGGTGCTGGCACCTGTTCAGCTTCTGGTGAGGGCCTCCTGGCTGCGTCGGAACACGACAGAAGGCAGGAGAGAGCTCAGGAAGCCAAATGGATCATTTAAGAAAAGTTTTTAAAAAAATTCTTATTTATTTGAAGCACAGTGAGACAGAGACACAGACAGGGATCTCATTCGCCAGGTGCCTGCAGTAGCTAGGACTGGATCATGCTGAAGCCAGGAGCCTGGAGCTCAGTCCGGGTCTCCAGTGGGGGTGGCACGGACCCAAGCATGTGAGGCGTCACCTGCTGCCTCCCAGAATGGACATTAGCAGGAAGCTGGAAATGGGAGTAAAGCAGAGACTCAGACCCAGGCACTCTGGTAAGGGATGTAGCCCTCCCGAGTGGCACCTTAACTGCCAGGCCGTATGCCTGCCTTGTGAACTTCCACTCCCACGAGAACTAACTCCTTCTGGAATGATGCTAATCTGTTCATTGAGGGTAGAGTCCTCATGACCTAATGACCTCTCGTTAGACTTTGCCACTAGGCACTGGCAAATTAAGAATGAAGTTTCCAACACAAGACCTTTTGGGGGTGCTTGCAAACCATAGCAACTGCGTATAGAGCCGTGCGTTATTCTACATGCAGCTACTCCTGCTTCCGCTCTGAATGGGGGTGCTGATCAGATAGAACAGGAAGTCAGCCAGCGAAATACAGAATTGGCAGGAAGCCCATCTGAAACCCGATTATGTATCCACTTACGTGACCTTGGCCATGACCTTGATGCACCTTGAGATTGATCGTGTGTAATTGTCGCTGCTAGGAAGACATTTAGAATCTGCAACTTGAGGACAGACGTCTGGAGTTTTTTCAGGGCTATTCAAAGTCACGTGACAACACAACGTGTCACGAAATTTCACCAAATAACAGGTTTAGAAACCTTTTCTGGAGTATGGCATTGTGGCATACTGGGTTAAGCCACCACCTGAGACGCTGGCATCCCCTATGGGTACCAGTTCATGTCCCGGCTGCTCCACTTCTGATCCATCTCCCTGCTAATGTGCCTGGGAAAGCAGTGCAGGATGGCCCCAGTCCTTGGGCCCCTGTACCCAAGTGCGAGACCCAGAAGAAGCTCCTGGCTCCTGACCTCGGCCTGGCCCACCCCCTGCCATTGCAGCCATTTAGAGAATGAACAAACAGACAATCTCTATTTTCTGCCCCTCTTCCTCTTTAATTCTTTCTAATAAATAAACAAATTTCTTTGGGGTGGGGGACTCTTCTGAGATTTCCACATTAGGGTAAGAGGTGAAAATCCACCTGCAGGTGGGGTAATGATGTTCTCCCTTCCGTGGCAGAAATGCCCAAAATAACACCCAGAAGACAAGATGGTCAGGGTGTGTCTCCTGTTAGCAAATAGGTTTGGGAGATGTATAGAAAACATTGATGAGTATTTGAAAAAGCTTGATAGGAGGTTTGTTAAACTGTCGGGCGGAAGTACAGATGTTTCCAAGCTGACTCAGCGTTGGCTGTGTGCTCGATTTTGCTTCAGCAAGAAATTATCCCCAGAATTCTGTTTTTCTTGGTGAGCCACCAAAGGAAAGCTGCACGTGAGAAATGTTCTCAGCCGGAAAAGATTTTGAAAATAAGAACAGTGTCCTGGGAAAATGTGCTTTGTGTAAGCTGTGATGGGGCAGACATGTAGCTGGGAGGCTGGGTTTCAGAGGTGCTGTCCCTGTCACCGTGTCAGTCTTTGGAAAGCTACTGTCAAACCCAGGAAGACCGCACTGGGGGTACGTGTATGCGTCGGTCTGTTTTCTGTTGCTATGACAAAGCACTGAGTGTGGGTCACTGCATCAGGAAGAGAGGTTTGTTTAGCTCAGTCATAGAGACTGGAAGTCCAACACTGGGTGGCCCCGTCTGTTGGATCTCAGGACGGAGTCCCTACGGCTGCATTACCACGTGCAGAGAAGCCGAAGGGAAACTGGGCGTGTGCAGAAGGGCTCACGTGTAGGGTGGCCGCACAGCTCACTCTCGTGAGAACTGACTTGCTCCTGGCGACCAGCGTTCATCCCGTCGTGAGGCTGGAGCCTTGTGGCCTAATTGCCTTCTCTTAGAGCCCTCCTTTGGAGATTCCACGTGGGGGACCCAGCTTCCAGCACCAGACCCTTTGGAGAAGCACTCCAGCCACATCCAGACCCCGGCGTCATGATTTGTGTTGTTTTATTAGGTGCCAAGGAGAGGGTGAGAAAGTCTTCCACCACTCAGCAAAATTCTCTTTGCTAACCATGAGCAGCTTAAAAGACAATATGTTGGACTTAAAGCTGTTTCTCATTTCTCTCTCCTTTTTATTTTTTTAAAGATTTATTTATTTATTTGAAAGGTAGAGTTACAGAGAGGCAGAGAGACAGAGAGAGGTCTTTCATCTGCTGGTTCACTCCCCAAATGGCCGCAATGGCTGGAGCAGGGCTGATCCGAAGCCAAGAGCTTCTTCCATGTCTCCAGGGGCCCAAGGAGTTGGGCCATCTTCTGTTGCTTTCCTAAGCACATGAGTGGGGAGCTGGATTGGAAGTGGAGCAGCTGGGACTCGAACCAGTGCCCATATGGGATGCCGGCACTGCAGGTGGTGGCTTTAACCACTACGCCACAGCACCGGCCCCTCTCATTCCTCCTTTATAAAATGATCATACATCCTGAGTTTGTTTCTCACCCTTTTAAATTTGTACATAAACATACGTACTATTTAGGTGCCTGTTCACAACTTTACAGGGGCTCAAGGCCAGGCCATTTGGAGACAGTGCTGCTAGAAAGTTAATGAGCGTTTACATTGTTCTCAAGCAAGAGAAAGACAAGAGGGTTAACACCCCGAATTCCTGTTTCAAATGAAATGTGTTTTGGTGAAGCATCAGGTTCATGATGTCATGCATTTAATGAGAGACATTGCTACTGTCCTAAGTTAGAAATCAGACATTCGTCTCCTGGCAAACCAGTGCTTTGGGTGCTGACCAAGGAAGCTGGAGGGATCCTAGTTTTTAAAGCAGTTTCCCACGGCTGCTTCCATGTTTACAGTACACATTCTGCTCGTTCAGGATGTTTTTACGCGATGGCGCAGCTCCTCTCCAGCCAGAGAGACCTTCTGTCTGAAGCCCCCGGCTGTGTCGTGGCTTGTCTGGGTGTCTTGCCATCTGCTCTATTTCTGCTCCTCCGCTTTGCCTAACGCCAGGTTTCAAGGGTGGCGAAGCTGCACACGGCTTTGTTGAGAACGTTCGCTGGACACTCAGGGACGCAGCGCTAACTGGAGACGGTTTTTACGGGGCTGCGTGTGTCTTGCGTTCAGCTCTTCAGTCGCAGGGCGGACCTGGTCTGAGACCGTACCCCAGCTGATGACTGTTTTCAACCGCAGAGTGTGTATCTCTGCAGGCAGCCACAGCTGGTCTGCTCAGTGGTTCACACACCGGTTAATTTAGTCGCCCTGTATGTGCTGTCCCAGTTATGAATCTTCCCAAGTAATTACTAACAACCCGTGGGTAATGTTGAACTCCAACCTAATGAACCAGAGCATGAGTGATGATGCATTTGTTCCTTGTCATTTCACCCCTTCTCCCTTGGTTCCCTCTTTTTAAAAACTGGGAAATAGATGCAAATACTTTGAGAGCCTGTACGGGTATCCCTTAACTATTGGCTGTTGAGAAATTTAATGAATCAGTCATTTCATTTCATCTGGGTGGTGAGTGTGTTGTGTGTGTGCACACACATGCACACTTGCTATTTTAAATTAAGCAAACAAGTAAATCTGTATCCTATCTAGTGGCTCAATAATGTAAGTCCTTCCCTGCTCTTCCATTTGGTTTCTTCTTTCACACTTTTTTTTTTTTTAATTTTATTTATTTGAAAGGTAGAGTTACTGGGGAGCAGGGAGAGGTGGGAGAGGACAGACATAAAGAGAGGTCTTTCATCCACTAGTGCACTCCCCAAATGGCTGCAACCGTCAGGGCTGGGCCAGGCTGAAGCCAAGTTCTTCTGGATCTCCCCCATGGGTGCAGGGGCCCAAGCACTTGGGCCATCTTCTGCTGCCTCTCCCAGGCACATGAGCAGGGAGCTGGATCGGAAGTGGAGCAACTGGGATACACACTGGCACCCATATGGGATGCTGGCGCGGTAACTTCATCTGCTATGCCACAACGCCGACCCCTGCTTTCACAAAATTCATTGCATGGATGAGAGAACTGAGGCCCGGCAGGGAGCAGTGACCCGCCCGTGGTCAGCAGGCCCTTTGCTGACAGAGCCTGTACCAGGAGGGCTCGCCCCACGCTGTAGGCCATGCCGGGATGAGCCTGCCCGGCGATTCACTGGCTTGCCAACTTTTTGCCGCACTTTGTCAGCCAGGCTCAGGTTTAAAAATTAATGACTACTTAATGGACGGCTCTACTTCCTGAGAGTTAAGCCATGCTTTTTCCTCCCTTCTCTGGCAGAAATCCGACATCCAGGACAGCGTGTGCTACAAGACCCAGCTCTACCAGATAGAGAAGTGCGGGGCCACCAAGGAGCCCTATGAGGTGAGTGACCCTGAAGCAGAGCCTAGGGTCCATGGGAGTGGATCTGTGTCGGGGCCATGGTGGAAAGGAAACCCGGCTACTGAGGGGCGTGGAAGCGGTGAGAGAGCTGGTGTGCAGCCGAGCCGCCATTGCTGTCTGCAATCCATAGCTCCCCCTGTGGCCACATGCGGGTCGCCAGGAGTGTTTCGACCCCTGGAAGCCGAGGCCACAGCTCAGAGCAATTGCATCCACTCTCAGGAGGTGGCCCTGGGGTGTCAGACTTTGTTAAAGTTCTCGGATGGGTCCAAGGAGGAGAAGCAAAGGGTAGACCCGGCCGCTCGGAAGTGCTGCTGGGTGGGCGTGGGGAGGAGAGGCAGGTGAGGAACGGGCCAGGTTCTAGTGAAAGCGAGCCTTGCTAGTGGGTGCTCCCGGGCTCTTAGCCAGGGCACTGCTCAGGGAACATTTAGTATCGACGCGTGTCCCGTGGCAGATTGTCACAGCTTTGGAGCCCCAATACCTGATCATAAGGAGATGGTGTCTGTAGATTCCAGATGGAGGGCTGGGGGGCTGGGGGTCCTGGGCTCTTCTATCACCTTGACCCAGGTGAGCTCTTTGTCCCCAGGAGGCCTGCTCGTGTGCCCTGGGTCCTCCTTCCACAGTAGTATTTCCCAGGACAGCCAGGAATGTCTTCGTTTGACGAGACTGCAAAGGGACCCCCCTCCCTGCCAGCACTGTTCCCACCCTGACTCCCTTGCCACGCCCACCACTGCAGGAGGTTCTTCTGTGGGGTCCATGCCGGCCTGCCATGCAGTGTATGTGGTACCTGGCACTGTCCTGGGCTCCATCAGTACCAGGCTGGCAGGTGCCACGCATCAGTGTGATAGGAGCATGGGAGAGGGGCAGGTCCAGGGGCAGATGGAGGCAGCAGCTCAAAAGGCAGCGAGGGGGGCCAGGGAGAGGATGGGGGTGTGGGGTGGGGTGGAGGGCATGGGAACTGAAACCATCAGCAGAGTGGGCTGAGCAGTGGCTGGCTGGAAGCTGTGAGGGAGAAGAGCTTCGTAGTAGCGGAAAGGGCCGGAGAGAGGGGGCATGGATTGGAGGGTCCAGACACAGAGGACACCAAGAGAGGGAATGCTGTCCCCTGTCAGTGACTCTGGCCATCAAAGAAGAGCACAGCGTGCAGAGAAGGATGCGCTGGGGTGGAGAAGGTTAAGGTGGGGAATGAGATGGCGAATGCCAAGGTCCTGACCTTGACCTCAGGCCAGACGCCTCCCTGCTGTGAGACCTGCTGCAGGGGGCGGGGTGGGGACATCCCCAGGGACAGCCCCTCACTGAGATCAGCTGATTTGGCCCCTAAGCCCCTCAGCACCCACTGCACCTCCATCCACATCCCGAGCCACCCTGCCCCTTCGCTTGGACCCCTGCTGGGGCCACCTCGTTGGTCCCCCTCCTCCCTGTGGCCGCTCCGAGCCATCTGCTCCACACGGCAGCTGGAGCCAGTGGTGTCTCCAGGGTGAGGCTGCTCTGGGCGGTCCACTCAGCTCCTTCTCCTGCCTGTGTCCCGGCCCCACGCCCACGGCACACTCAACCCTGCCACCTTGCTGTGGCACCTGCACATGCTGTTTCCTCTTCTGGAATGTTCCCCCCACGCCTCCCTCCTGAATCAGTAACTGTGTCCCTTTTGAATCTCGAGATGCGGTCAGCCCATCAGGGTCCCCGCTATCTCCTGGCCTCTACCCGGGGCTCCTGTCCCCGTGTCACACTTCATTTTGCATTCTGGGGCTTGTCCCATTCATGGTTTTCATTTCTTTGGACATTATTTGACCACCGTCTCTCTCACTGGGACTGTGTTCCTCTGGCCTCTCCCGGCACCCCTAGGGGCTCTTGATGCCTGGTGGGCACCAGGTGATCAATAAATATTTGCTAACAAAGCAAATGGAAGAATCTGGTGTACTTTGCCCTGTGTCTCAGAGAATACGTAGAACCGGGACAAGCAACTGGAGAAGGTGGAACAGTCCAGCTGGGACCCCTGGCTTGATTAAACAAGGGGGCCACCTGCAGCACTGTGCACAGGTGGCACGGTCATCCCCCCCTCCCCCCCAATGGCTGCGCCTTGAGGCAGGCAGGTCCCCTTTGGGCATGCGCACTAAGGGTAGCCACCCAGCCTGGCGTCCAGAACCCGCCGTTTGTCTTCTTTGCCTCCTGGTTTGTGTTTGACCTTTTAGGGTCTCAAATAATAGCACAGACGTAGCCACTGAGTGCCCTCTCTCTGTGCCGTAAGTGGCCTGTCAGTCCCCTTGCTTGTGCCTGTGAGCGTGCAGCCCTCACACCGAGCCTCAGAGCCGTGGTGTCTGGTGGGAGAGGAGCCCCCTCTTCATCCAGACACTTCCCAGAGGATGGCTTCGCTTGGCCTGAAAACCCCTGGTGTGCGCGTGAAGCATTTGTTGAGCTATGGAACAGTTAGGATTTAAATAGGAACGCTAATGGCCAAACGGTGCTTCGGTTTCTAGGATCCATTTGTTTTCTCCAAACTGCAGTGATGCTTCTGCTAATTAAATTACAGCTATTACCAGATTAGCCAATTTGTCTCTGTTGAAACCTAGAAAGTGGAGCAGGGCTCGTTAGAAAGCGCAGTCAGGCAGTCTGAGGGGTCCCGATTCACAGTGGCGGCCGCTCAGAGCCCCTGGCCCGGCCCGGGAGGCGCCCGTGCGTCCAAGTGCGGGCAGAGGGGCAGAAGGAGGGCGGGCAGGAGTTTCTGGCGTGTGCAGGCTCACGGGGGTGTAGCTCAGGGTCTGAGTCCTCCCTGGGGCCGTCAAGCTGTGTCCCAGGCACCGAGTACAAGCAATGGCCTCTTTGTTCCTGCCCACGCAGTTCTCTTTATCCTGGGGGACAAAGGAGCTGAATTAAGTTGCGGAAAATGCCCCTCTGCGGATTGCGGCGCGGGGAGTTTGTGACTTCACCGTTTCCTTTGTCTCGTCTTCTGTCAAAGGCAGAGAATGTGTCTGTCAAAGTGGGGCGTGAATCCCATCCGAGAGCGCCTTCCCTGCACCCAAGGGACCCTTCCTAAGAACGACTCTGTGGGGGCTGTGGGTGGCGGGGGTCTGGGCGGGGCTGTCACCACTTGTAAACTGGCACGTATGTATTCATTTGTAGAAAAAGGCGCCCTAGAAGCAGGGAGTCATCTCTGCACTGGCAGAGTAGCCGTGGCGTTTGGGATGAAACTTGGCACAGAGCACGCGTAGCCGGGGGCTGCGTTCGTCTGCGGGGGTTGCGTTCGTCTTCTAGAGCTGCAGCTGCTGTCACAGCCCGGATGTAGCAGACCAGGAGTATCTGGGAGAAATCTCAGTCCAGGACTCCGTCTGTTACCAGACCCAGACCCAGCTCCACCTGATAGAAAAGTGCTGGCAGCCAAGGCGCTCAGTCCCCAGTGCCTCTCGGGGCCGTGAGCGAGGGTCTGTCCCTGGCGCTCCCGTGTCTGGAGGTTGTGGGTGACCCCTGCTGTTCCTTGGCTTGCTGACACATCACCCCATGTCTGCCTTTAGGAGGTTCTCCCGTGTGCAAGCCTACACCCCATTTCCCCTTCTTGTAAAGACAACGGCGATTGGAGAAGGGCCCTCATTTGAACCTGAGTAGCCCTGTAAAGACTCTCTCCACAGCAGGGCCACTTCCGAGGTCCCAGAGGTTAGGACTATGGGTTTTGGGAGAAGACAACTCCATCCATGGCAGTACCAGGGTAAATACACCGGTGTTTGGTTCTTTACTTAGGAGTCTGTACAGCTTTTTTTTTTTTTTTTTTTGCACATTATAGAGGTAAACTTATTTTTGTGCACATCTGCAAGTGGGAATCTACACAGCTTTTACAGACAAAGTTCAGGAGCAGGTCAGACGACACTGTTAGAAATCAGAATGGCAGCTACATATGTTCCCACAGTGGCTGGGAGAGGCCCTTGGTGTGGGGGCGGGACCTTCCAGGTGCCAGCTGGGGCCCGTCTCTTGCTCTGGGAGCTGTTTTTGCTGTTGGCGGAAGTGTATGGGGGAATGGGGGCTGCTCACATATATTTAGAGCAGACCTCTGTTCTGTGTCTTAGATTTTAAAATCTATTCAGCATGCGAGGTAGGACAGACACCTACTACAACTTCTACTACAGTTTACAGTTTAGGAGTCTGTGGTTTGTCTTTTTTTTTTTTTTTTTTTTTTTTGGTCTGTAAACATTGAAATAAATAATTCTCAACCAGAGCCGCTAGGGAAACAGCAGGGGATAGAGTCTAGGGAATTAAATAACAGGTGCAGCCTCTCAAATTACTGAACAGTGCTGCTTTTCACAGGCCTCCCTGGACACCTGGACAAGAGACCTTGAGTTCCACACTGTGCAGGTAAGAGCACGGGGGCTGTGGGGTGAGCACCGGGATCGCCGGGGAGGCAGACACACACGCACACGCACATGCATACGCTCACCCTCACTCGCACAAAGGGACAGAAAGAGTGCACGCGTGCGAGAGAGCAAGAGAGTGTGAGAGAGAATGCACTCAGCCCACTTGCACATGTGGACAGAGAGGAGGAGAGAGAGAGAGAGAGTACACTCACCCCCGCACGCAGAGATGGACAGAGAGGGGGACACAGATTTATTTAAAGCAATTGGCTCGTGCTACCTGGGGCCTGCAAGTCTGGAATCTGTGGGACAGACCTGTAGGCTGCAGACCAGAAGAGCTGGTGTGGCACCGGCAAGTTCAGAGGCCCTAAAATTTTTATTCATTTGAAAGGCAGGGAGAGATAGAGAGAGAGAGAGAGAGAGAGAGAGAGAGAGAGAGAGAGAGATGAGGATGAGAGAGAGAGATCTTCCATCCACTGGTTCACTCCCCAAATAGCCACAATGGCCAAGGCTGGGCCAGGCCAAAGTTAGGAACCAGGAGTGTCTTCCAGGTCTCCCACATGGGTGCAGGGGCCCAAGCACTTGGCCCATCTTCCACTGCTTTCCCAGGCTCATTAGCAGGGAGCTGAATCCAAAGTGGAGCAACCAGGCCTCGAATCAGTCTCTAAAGGATGCTGGTGTCGCAGGCGGCAGCCTTACCCGCTAGGCCACACTGCGGGCTCTGAGACCGAGTTTCTTTTTCCAAAAGTCCTCCTTGCTTTTTGTTCCTTAAGGCCTCTGACTGTTTCAAGGATCGCCTACTTCAAGTCTCCGGATTTCAATACTCATCACGTTAATAAAAACACTTTGACAGCAGCATCCAGACTGGCGTGTGACCACACAGCCGGGCACCCTGGCCCCTGAGTTGGCACATGAAATGAACCATCTCATCTGATCCTAGGGGTTGGTCAGTCTCTGCCCAGGGCCACCAGGTTCTGCACAGCTGTGTCCTTACTCTGAATGAAAATCTACAGAGTCCTGGTGTGGGTGGGCTTGGCAGAATCTCCTGAGGTCAGATCGGTGCTTTCTGTGTTGCGTTGACTCGTGTTTATGGTCTTGCTGTAACCACACGCCGGGCCATGCATTTCCGTTTCTACCAGTATGCAAAATGGTGTTAGAACAGTCTAGAGCTTCCTGGCTTAGTGGCCTAGCTCGCTCTTTCTTTCTTTCTTTCTTTCTTTCTTTCTTTCTTTCTTTCTTTCTTTCTTTCTTTCTTTCTTTCTTTCTTTCTTTCTCTTTCTTTCTTTCTCTCTCTCTCTCTCTCTCTCTCTTTCTTTCCTTTTTTTTTTTTTTTTTTTTATCAACTCATTTTTTTTCTCCTGAGACAAACATCAAAGAAACTCCCTTATGTGAATTTGATTCCCAGCCAGGAACCAAGACCGACCTACCAACAACACCTGGCCCCTGGGCCAGCCCAGGTGGTAGCAAGTTGGCACCTGGTTCTGCCACTCCAAACAGCTGGGTGAAGCTTACCAGTCATCAGGGCACATCAAGCCCCAGATAGGTCCACGAGGAGCTGGACTTCTTGGAGGTCCTCAGCGGGACAGCAGCTGCCCGCTCAGCCCAGGGCTCCTTTGCTGCCGGAGGCAACCCTGAATCCATGCCTCTGAGTGCGAGGGAAAAGGCTCATCTCCCAGGCAGCAGGCCTGCCCAGAGCCTGGCTGGCAGGCAGCCTGCATCCTGTTAACCTGACGCCTTTGTGGTTCAGACAATGGAGCGGGGGCCAGGTGGGGTCAGGCTCCCACGGTTTGGGTTGCTGCTGGGGGAACACCCCCCTTCTCAAGTGACTCACCCAAGCTCACCCAGCAATTTCAAACAGAGCCAGGAATGATCCCACACTTCCACGGCTGCTCCCGTGGCTGGGGTCCTGGGGACTTTGGGAACTTAGAGCCCCTCTTAGGGGAGTCAGGGTATCCCCTTGGCACAGCTGTCAGGGAAGAGAGCTTTGGGGACCAGCCCCGGGAGCTCAGACCCGGGAGGCACAGGTGTCTGCACAGGGCTCCGTCTGGAAGCCCAGTGGATTATCACTCCCGGCCTCTCCCGTCCTCCAGCAGCGCCATTCAACGTTGAAAGCCTTTTGGGCAGATAAGCTTGGAGGGGCCAGGTCTGCAAGGTGAATGGCTTCATAAATGTCCCTGCATGCCTGCGGCTGATGGTTACAGGGTTGGAAGCTGCTGGCTGTGTGGTTTGCATCCGGGCCCTCATCTGGTCCCCTCTCGGGCTGCAGCACTGTGAGGGTGCAGAGGGGACAGACAGCTTGAATCCCATCAGCCCTTGGCCCCAACACACACACACACACACACACAGACCCACATGAGCCATGCTGGGGAGGCCTGGCCTGGAGAATCAGGGGAGGCCAGGAGTCAGCAGGAAGCAGCGTGGCTGGGTGGGGTGTGTGTGCCCGTGGAAGGGGGGTGTAATTAGTCCCTCGGAAGATCTTGTTCTGTTGCATAAGACAGTTGAGCGTGGTGCTCCCTGGTCGTGCACGTGGGGAGCTCCGACGGGGTCGCAGGTTGCACTTGGCAGCACGTGCTCAGAGGGTGTGAGGTTGGCCGGCTGCAGACACGCACGGTCCTCCGGGCTGGGGACCCCTCTGCACGGAGCAATCGCACGCGAATTCTTGGCGGCTCCCTAGAAACCGGTTACTAGGAAGGCGCTCGGCTCCTCCAGGCTGGTGTAGGGTATTCTCGGCTTGTTCTGTTTTGTTTTCAGGGAGGCGATGCCAGTGTGCGGGATGCTGGGACTGATTCCCACGAGGGTGGCTTTTGCAGGATGTTCGGAGATGGTTGGCGGAGTTATGCATCATTTTCCCCTTCTGCTCGTTGCCGAAGAGCCCTCTGTCGGGTGCAGGAGAAGGTCAGCCTAAGACCGGCCTTGGTCTCCTTCCGTGCCTCGTAGCCCTCTGGGCGCGGATGAACTCTTATCTGGGTGGTGATCCTGGCCCTCTACCCCCCAAATTCCGCATCTTGATCCTTCAGCTTTTGAGAACCAAAGGCGGGTTGTGAAACGAACCCCTGAAGTTTCTGGCAGCTCTGTAAGCACGGGGCTTCCAGCGAAGCCCGCGGGAGGGTTTGCCGATCATTCAGAAACAGTTCTAAAGGGGGTGAATGGCAGTGGTGTCTTTTCTTGAAATCATGTTTAAGAATGGTTCTCCAAAGTACGTTTGGTTTTTGTGCTGTGTAAGGTGTTAACAGGTGGAGTCGGTGCACTGAGCGGAAGGAGATTTTGTGAGACGTCAGGCCAGTCCTGGCCCTGTTGAGGCTGTGTGTGTGTGTGTGTGTGTGTGTGTGTGAAGGCTCATTCTCTGCATTAGAGAAGACGGGCTGTTGTTTCATGGGAAGAAGCAGTAGGATCATCCTCTGCTGGGCTCGACCGTGGGCTCCTGGAACCCATGGGGCCCCCTTCTTAGGCTCCTGCAGGTCTTTATCCATTTGCGGCTGCTGTACACCTGACCTGGTCATTTACAAAGAGCAGGGATTTATTCCTCGCAGTTCAGGAGGCTTGGACGTCCACGAGCATGGCTCTGGTACCTGGCCCAGGACCCTCTGGCTGCATGACAACATAGCAGAGGGCGTCCCAGAGTGAGGGAGTGTGCAGAGAGAGAGAGAGGAATAGCGGGCCAGACTCCTCTCCTGTGCCAGGAGCCCACCCCTGCCATGTCTGACCCAGCTCCTTCATCCAGGCAGGAGAGTAGAGCGCCTATCACCTGATGGGCACCCCTCAATACCGTCACCACGACAGTTGCTTTGTCAGCTGAGTTTTGGAGGGGACGTTCGAGCCATCCCACGATGACAGCCTGGGCACAGGGTCTCTGTAGCACCCAGATGACATCATGCGGTGTGTTGGACCGTGGTGTGCTCCCTGACACTCCTGCAGTGTCTGTCCTCACCCCCACCACCACGAGTCTCACCTCCTAGGACCTGTCAAGGGTTCACAATGCCAAGTTCAAGGCTGTGAATCTCAGTCTGAGCTCTGCTCTTGGGTGACTTATTCCACGGCTGCAGGCGGTTTCCTTATTTGCAAAGGGATAACAACAGTTTGTTTCTTGCCGACTGGAACATCTGCCGCCTTGTGCACCCTCCGTGTAGACTGGTGGCTTTGGGGTGCTGGGGCAGGAGTTTGCAGAAGTCTGTCTTCTCTTCCCAGCTCCCCCTGCCACTTCAACAAAGAGTTAGGCCCCCAGGGAGCCCCCGGCCCTTGATGTGGTGCTCAGGGCTCGGCTCAGCCCCCGCACTTCCCCGTCTCGTTCCCACTCAGACACTGGACATAATTAACCCCAGCTTGGGCGGCTTTGAACATCCTTGTTAGAAAGGGCTGTAAAAAGTGCAAAGAGATGTTTCTTTGAGAGGCTTTGCAACAACATCAATGAAAAATAGATGAGCTCTGTTGAACTGCAAATGTTCTGACGTTGAAGGCAAAAACATAAAAATTGGTCCTTTTTTTTTTTTTTTCCCCTCACCCAGGATGAGGTCAGGGCTGCAGTGGCCTCTGTCTAGCGGTCAACACCAAGCTCAGTGAGCCGGGCTGGGGAAGGAGCCATTCCTCGTGGCTCCACCCTCCCCAGAAGCTTGCCCGCAATTCGGCTCAATCTCATTTTTTTTTCTTTTATACATTTCAATAACTATTTATTATGCTTTCTTGAAGTGCCTGGCTGTCCGCCAAAGGCTGTGAGGTTGAATATACAGAAAATAGTCAAATGCACTCTCACCAGAAGGATTATGATGTCGCTGAATAAAGCAAGACTTAACAGCAAAAATGGCTGTGTTTGTGTGCTGGTTTTAAGTCCGCCAATAATCGCCTCCATGACTCTCGGGTAGAAAGGACCAGAAATCCAGCCAGGACTGCTCAGGGCTCCGTGGGTCTGTTGTTCCGCGTTGTGTTGGTCACCTCCGTGGCTTGACTGAGCCCACAGAATGTGACGTGAAGGTGGAAGCAGTGTCGGTTCAGGTTGCACGGTGCACGGGATCTTAGGGCGTGAACCTTTCTGCACAGAGCAGGGCTCCAGAAGTCCTGATTTGCTTCCTCTGCCTCCTGCAGAATAACTGGCCGTGGGGGACTGGCCTCGCCCTTGCAGGAACACCTGGAAACAGTGCAAGGGGCTCAAGGCAATCCCAGCCCACCTGCTGTCCCCGCAGAGGGAGACTTGCCAGGGCTTGGTTCGTTTCTCATTCAAAAGCTGGATCTCTGTGGTCTGCTTGGACGACTAAAGAGGGATTCCATTGTGTATTCACCCGTGCCTCTGAATATGTGTGTCCGCTTCTGATTCAAAGGATAAAAAGCCCAAAGAACAAGAAAAACGAGGGGACTTTCTTCACCGGCCGTTTTCCAAGAAGTTGGACAAGAACCTGCCGGCGCACAAGCCGCCGCCAGCCTCACTCATGGCGCAGGTGCACGGCAGCAAGGGGCTGCCCAGGGACCGGAAGGCCTCCAGGTCTGGCTTCCCCGACAAAGGTGCGTAGGCTCTGGGGCCTCCCCCCGAGGCCACTCATGTGGAGCTGTGTCTGCTCTGCCCGTATCCCAGATGGCTGTGTTGTCCCCGGGACATGGCTGGCTGCTCAGGACGCTCGCCTGACATGAGAACACACCGCTGCCAGAGCTGGTAGCCTTAGCCACCTGGCTGTGCAGGGATGGCTTGAGCACACAGAAGTGGCTGTGTGGTATTATGGAAACAGATTGGGGTACGCAGTGCTGCAGGAGCAGGGGTTGGGGTGTGCCATTGAGGGAGCAGAGCTGGGGGTACAGGGCTAGAGAGGGGTACAGGAAAAGAGATCAGGGTACGGGAGCAGAGTCTGGGGTGCATGGTAACATCAGAGCTGAGATTGGGGTGCACAGCATTGGGGAACCAGGGATGAGGGTGTGGTATTGTTAGATTTGGGGTGCGACATAGAGAGCAGGGCTGTGGTGTCATGGGGGGCTTCCCCAGAAGAGTGGACCCTCGGAGGCACTGAAGTGTGATTGGGTCTGGACTCTGGGGTGCGGGTAGGGTGCTGCAGTCTAGGTACTGCTGCTGGCTCTAGGCCCACATTCCTTACCCTCTGATGGTCTTCATTGGTTCCTCTACTTGTAACAGTTCCTGCCTGTTGGAGCCCTCGGGTGGGTGAAATGAAACCTCCATGTAGGCTGCCTGCATGTGGGCTTGTCCGCACATCACAGATAACTGATGACTATGAGTCGCCCTGCTCTGGGCTGAGCATGGAGGGAGGAAGGGAGGAGGGCTCCCCAGCACGAGGGTGCCGCACTGCAGGGAGGTTAAGAGAGAGGGGACGTGGGTCCGCTTTCTGTTACTATAATGAAATGCCTGAAGCAGGCTTGGGAGTGAAGAAAAAGAGTTTTTTTTTTTCTTTTTTCTTTTTTTTTTTTTTTTTTTTTTTGACAGAGTGGACAGTGAGAGAGACAGAGAGAAAGGTCTTCCTTTTGCCGTTGGTTCACCCTCCAATGGCCGCTGCGGCTGGCGCACTGCACTGATCCGATGGCAGAAGCCAGGTGCTTCTCCTGGTCTCCCATGGGGTGCAGGGCCCAAGCACTTGGGCCATCCTCTACTGCACTCCCGGGCCACAGCAGAGAGCTGGCCTGGAAGAGGGGCAACCGGGACAGAATCCGGCGCCCCGACCGGGACTAGAACCCGGTGTGCTGGCGCCACAAGGTGGAGGATTAGCCTAGTGAGCCGTGGCGCTGGCCCGAAAAAGAGGTTTCTTGAGCTCACATTCTGGAGGCTGGAAGTCCAGTCCTGGTGCAGGCTGAGTCCAGAGCATCCTGGGTGGTGGGAGAGAGTGGAATTGGTGAGCAGACTGGGCAGGGCCAACCCCAGTATAGGACCACTCCCCCTCTCCCGGGAGAGTCACCTTCGTCCCTGCTGAGGGCAGCCCCTGTTGACCCCAGGACCTCCCACTAAGACCGTGCCTCTGCCTCCCGACCTCACCAACCCTGCCCAGGACCCAGCCTCCAGCCAGGGACCTGGAGGGGACAAACCAGACTGAAACCACTGTGCCAGGGGTGTCCTGGGGCTGGAGGGCAGAGGCGCCTGTCACCGCAGGAATAGAGGGGAGAGATTGTGGGGCAAAGCTGCTCCCGGATGGTGGCCGCTGAGCACACAGCAGCTCCTGGGGGCTCCCAGCTGATGGGGACATTGGAGGCCTTCGCTGCTGGCGACATTGTCCCCTGCCCGCGGGGTGGATCTTGGGCCTCTGTACCAGCACGGGAAACTGATGTGGGTGTTTGTATGTTTATGTACAAAAGGGGGGCGGCTGCACAGTGTCCCCGGCTGCTCCCAGCGTGGCTCTCACCAAGCGACAGTTCGCTCCTGCAGCTGGGCCGTGACGGGACCTATAAAATGTTACGAAGGAAAAAGAAGCTCGTTCTGCATGAACTTGGCCTGGGTCCCCGCAGCTCCAAGTCTGGAGGGGGTTTTCCCTTCCTTTTCTGGCACGGTTCGCAAGCCTGGTCTGTGCCAGCTGGGGTGGAAACCCTGGGGACTGGCTGGCCGCCTTCACTCACCGCATGGGGAAGGGAACTGGGCCCCGGGTTGGAGCTGGAGGAGGCTCTGGGGAGACCAAAAGCCGTGAGGATCCTTCCAAGGGCAGGGAGCTCTGACCCACACACGCAGGGACGAGCCTAGAGTGCAATCAGCCGGGCACATGGGGACAGACGCCGTTGGAGTCCATTGTGTGGGACTCCTGGAGTGTTTGGGTTCCCAGAGTGGTGGCTACCAGGGGTGATGGGGGTGGGACTGGGGAGCCAGTGTTGAGGGGTACGGAGCATTAGATTTTAAGATGCAGAGAGACCTGGCGCTGGGTTCACTTAACGCTGCCGAGCTGTGCACTGGGAGGTACTCGGGACTGCATTTCCTGTTGCATGCTTTTTCTCTCAAGGGACAGGTGAGGCAGTGGGTCAGCAGGGAAGTGGGCCTTCCCGTGTGGCCACCTGATGACCAGGCCTGCAGGGGGCTCAGGACAGGGGCTCGGCGCTTCCAGGAGCTTGTGGAGACCTGGCACGTGTGTGCACTTCTCTCTTCTGAGGCCCTTTGGCAGGGCCCAGAACTTTAAGCAGCCAGAAGGGGAGCAGGTGTTAAGCCGGGACCAGGAGCCGTCTGTCTACTACGCCCTAGAAAAGCTGGCGGGAGGCCTGTGGCCGGGGAGTGTTGCAGGGTGCTGCTGCTCCCTCCTGTCTTAAGCAGCCACAGCCGTGAAATTCTTGGTTTCTGCTGCCCTCCATGCGGTCCCTGTGCTGTCCAGCTGGCCACCAGCATAGGCAGGAGAAAGGCAAGGGTGCGGTTTCTATGGCTGGGTGGGCGTGGCTTCCGTGGCTGGGTAGAGTTTCCATGGCAGGCTGTGTAGTTTTCTGTGACTAGGCGTGGTTTTCTGTGTGTGGTTGGGCGTGGCTTCTGAGGCTGGCTGGGAGTGGTTTCTGTGACTGGGCGTGGCTTTCTGTGTTTGGTTGGGCGTGGCTTCATGACTGGGCGTGGTTTCCGTGGCTGCCCTCCTGACTTTGTTTTCTTGGTGTGCAGATTCCTTTGGCTGCCGCAACATCTTCCGCAAGACGTCCGATTCCAACTGTGTGACTTCTTCTTCCATGGAGTTCATCCCGGTGCCACCTCCCAGGACCCCCAGGATCGTAAAGAAACTGGAGCCGCAGCAGCAGGGGTCCGGCAGTGCCAGCGTTCCCCCTAAGGAGGACCCCCTGGTGCTGGACATGGTGCGCTCCTTCGAGTCCGTGGACCGCGACGACCCCGCGGAACTGCTGTCCCCGGCCCATCACCACAGAGTCCTGCACTCACCCGTGAGCCTGGGCCGCAGGAATTCCAGCGAGCGGACGCTGTCCCCGGGGCCGCCTCCCGGCAGCGCCTCACCCCTGCACACCTCTTTGCACCCCACACTGGTCTCCTTTGCCCACGAAGATAAGAGCAGCCCCCCCAAGGAGGAGGGCATGTGTGCCCCGCCTCCTGGTCCCAGTGGCGGCCCCCCGCAACCACTGGGGAGCCCCAACTGTGTCAAGAGCCGGGGCAGGTTCCCCATGATGGGCATCGGGCAGATGCTACGGAAGCGCCACCAGAGCCTGCAGCCCTCAGCCGAGAGGGCCCTGGAGGCCAGCCTGCCCCCGCTGCAGCCCCCAGCCCCCGGGAGCCTGCCCTTTGACCTGGCCGACGGCATCAAGGGCCAGTGTTAGCTCAGGCCTGCAGGGTCTGGGGCTCCCCAGGGAGAGCTGTGGGTGCAGGGGCATGAACAGGCAGGGACCTCACAGGTACATCCTTTGTCCACACCAGCCTGGAGACATCCCAAAGGCACAGCCCCCCAACCTGCAGCACCCAGCCTCGCTTGGGGATCCCTGGAGACGCTGGACATGGCTAAGAAGGCTGGCCACAAGGACAGCCAGGTTCAATTATCCCATCCTCTTCCTGGGCCCCTCACCAAGCGCCCGCCCACCTCCCCTGCGAGGACAGCCTGTTACCCCAGCCTCCTGTCTGTGTGCCTCACTCACACGGGGACCAACAGTGTCACAATTTCTCCAGACCACAGCCCCGCTATGGGGGGTGAGCAGATGGTCCTTCTGTAGCCACGAAACCCCCCATGGGCCTCGGACCCAGAGGAAGACATAGGGAGAAGCCTTGGTCAAAGATGGAACCGTTATGAACTCCAACGAAAGAAAAAAAAACTGAAGCTCTCATTGCCCAAGCCAGGTTTTGGCAGGTGCATTTCTGCAGTTCGGCTGAATCTTGCTAACGGTCGAATGATCTGCCCCCGAAGGGATTTTCCTCTGTGTGATGTCGTTAAGTGGAAATGGCGTCATTTTCAGAAAACCAGGCTGGAGTGAGGAAAGCCATTCCGCCAAGTGCTTGTTTCATAGCGGGATCCAGCTCATTGGGCAGAGGCTGGGGTGAGGGTGTGGTGGCGGCAGGACGGTGGCCCTGGAGGGGCCCAGGACCCCACGTTCATCCCTCTGTGTCCGCACAGGCCCTGGTTCTGATTGGTTCTTTAGGAAGAGAGACGAGGATGGTCGTGGCAGCGTTCTGTGCCGTTCCATCCTCCAGCGGCCCAGAGGAAGGTGCAGTGAGGGGCTTGGCTCGGCTTCCGGGAGCTGCCTGGTAGAGAGCGTGTTCGTGTGCCGGATGGCTTCTTCCACGGGAAAAGCAGCGTTCCTCCAACAGGATCTCCGTCCACACTGGCGTCTTCACACCTTTGCCAAGGATCGAACCAAAGATGTGTCTCTGGTGTTGTGTCTGTGCCGTCCCTGAGTGTGCGTTGTGTGGACCCCGGTGTTGTCTGACTGTGTCCAGCTGGAGCCCGGCGGGGGCTGCGTCCATGCAGTACCTGGGGCGGGGAGAAGGATGGCCACAGGTGCATAGGGTTAGTGCAGGAGATGGGTAACAGGTGGCCCAGACTGTGGCCACCCCAGGGCGGCTTCTCCGTCCCTGCCCTTGCCGACTGCCAAGCCAGCCATCGCTTCCTGCAGGCCAGAGTGTGTGCAAGTGAATCTTCACTTTCTCATTGGCCTGTGACATCCCGTTGGCCCAGCACAGCCCCCGCTAAGCCAGCAGACAACACAGCTCTCCGACTGACCGCGTGACCGTGTTTGCGGGTGACCGTGGCTGGAGTCCTCGCCAGGGATGGGCAGAGGTTGCTCCAACTCTAGGGCAAGACTCCTGAGTGCCGGTGTTACTCTTTGGTATGGAGCAGGGTGCAGCATCTCACGTGGAAAAGAGCTTTTTCAGCAGAGAGAAGACAGGAATCCTCTGTGAGACCCCCTGTCTGGGGCTCGTGGGATGCTTTGATTGTGGGCTGGTGGGGAGACCTCTTTCGTGGGGGATGGTTTCCAGCCGCAGCTGTTGCGTTCTGCAAGGCGTGGGGTGTGTGCCTGTGTGTTGTGGACTTTCTGGCGCCCCTGCTGCCTGTTTTTTTTTTTTTTTTTTTCCCTTGTATTTTACTTTCCTCCAGGAACCTGAACGTGTCCATGATTCCCGTCCTTGCGTGCCTCAGGGGCAGCTGCGGTGCCCTGGCTCTCGCTGGCACCACTGTCGCCATTGGTACCTTGACCTTTGAACTCAGGTTAATTCCAGACCCAGTGATCGCTGTGGGGGAGTGAGAAAGGGGAGAAAACTGCAAGCATTGTGTGAGTGTGTGTGAGCACCTGACAAGTCTGTGAGACCAAGTCCAGGAAGAAGTGATAAATTCTTTATTATTTTATTATATTTATATGGGAGACTTTGTGTGTCCCCTGGGTAAGCGCCAGGTGTGTTGTCCGTCTGACCCACGCGTGTCTCCCGTCAGCCTGTGAGCTCCGGCAGCTGCTGATGGAAATGACCGAGCTGTCATGAGAAACCTGGAAGGAAAAGTCCATTTGAATTGTACGATTCGGTCGCAAATAAGGACTGTACTTATGTCACCATTACGAGATATATGTACTTTTGTAACGACTGTGAAATACATTTTTCCCTCACGATGACTGCTTCTTTATTGGTTGATCAAGCTTGGAATGTTGAGTGCGTTACAGATGAGAGCCATCTTTTACCCGAAGGTCTTGGTCCAGCAGCCGGTTCCACGCCACCTGCATCATCACACCTCACAGGCCACCTGCCTGACTGCCAATGGCAGTGCAAGGTCAACCAGCATTCCCAAGGTCAAGGGCCCCAGGTGCAGGGAAAGTGATGCCTCTGAACGTGTCTTCTGGATATTGTCCTCGTTTACAAAGGCCCTGGTCAGGGACAGGGGAAGCGGGATGGCAGGGGTGGGGGTGGGTGTGGGAGGTTCAGATTAGGTACTGGGACTATCCAGTTGTCTGTCGCTTTGTAACCGTTCACACCTGCATTTCCCATCTGCCACCCTCCACCCCCTGTTCCCCTTCTGTATAGCAACGGAGCAAAGGGTCGGAGGTTGGCAAGGCCAGAGGGGTCCTCGCTGTCTCCCCGACACGGCACTCTCTGTGAATCTGGATTAGGAGAAAAGAACAGGTGCTAGTTCTGATGATTTTTCCTTGTAGGAACCACAACATTTTACAACATTTTAGGAGATGCTCTGATTCAATACCGTAACTGCCTTTTGGTTTTTTTAAAACTATAGTAGCATATAATTTTTTAAAGATTTTATTTGTATTTATTTGAAAGGTAGAGTTACAAAGAAAGAGAGGGAGGGAGGGAGGGAGAGAGAGAGAGAGAGAGAGAGAGAGAGATCTTCCATCCACTGGTTCATTCCCCAAATGGCTGCAACAGCTGGGGCTGGGCCAGGCCAAAGCCAGGAGTCAGGAGCTTCTTCCAGGTCTCCCACAAGGGTGAGAGGGGCCCAAGCACTTGGGCCATCTTCTGCTGCCTTCCCAGGCCATTAGCAGGGGGCTGGATGGGAAGCAGAACAGCTGGAACACAAATTGCCTCTCCTATGGGATGCCAGCATCACGGGCAGCGGCTTTACCCACTATGGATCTACACCAGCCCCAGCAGTATATTATCCTCAACGATTTGTTCAACAAAGATTTAAAGCAAAGGTTGAGAAAAACACTATATTTGCAAAAACTGATGCAGGCGTTTCTTTGTTCTTGATTTTTTTTTAATGTCAGCTTCCACATGGAAAGGAGAACATGCAGTATTTGTCTCTGTGTCTGGCTTAATTCACTCAACATGATCCAGTTGTATCCATTTTGCTGCAGATAATAGAGTTTCATTCTTTTTATAGCTGAAGAATATTCCAGTGTGTGTGTGTGTAATCTCACATTTTCTCTATCTACTCCTCTGCTAAGTGGATGGTTCCAAATTTTGGCTATTGAGAACAGTGCTGCTTTAAACATGTGGTACACGTATTTCTTTGATACAGTATGTTCAAGCCTTTTGGGTGTATCCTCAGAAATGGGATTTTTGGATTGTATGGTAAATCTACTTCTAGTTTTTTTTTAAAAGATTTTTATTTATTTATTTGACAGGTAGAGTTACAGACAGTGTGAGAGAGAGAAAGGTCTTCCCTCTGCTGGTTCACTCCCCCAGATGGCCGCTATGGCCAAAGCTACACTGATCCGAAGCCAGGAGCCAGATGCTTCCTCCCATGCGGGTACAGGGGCCCAAGCACCTGGGCCATCCTCCACTGCCTTCCTGGGCCACAGCAGAGAGCTGGACTGGAAGAGGAGCAACTGGGACTAGAACCGGCGCCTACATGGGATGCAGGCGCTGCAGGATTAGCCTTGTGAGCCATGGTGCCGGCCCCCTACTTCTAGTTTTTTAAGAAGTCTCCGTACTGTTTTCCACAGTGGCTGTGCTAATTCACATTCCCACCAAGACTGTGTAAGAGTTCCCCTTTCTCCACATCTTCGCTGGCATTTGCTACTGTCTGTCTGTTGGAGAAGAGCCATTCTGATGGGGGCGAGGTGCTACCTCGTTGTCCACCCCAGCCTTTTGGAAAAAGAGAAATCTGGCGTCCCATGTAATTTTTAAAGATGCCTTGGAGTTCCCAAGTGAGCCAACGCCAGGGCTGCTCCCCCGAAGAAAACCGCCATGGTTGGGGGACAGTCGGCAGATCCAGGCACCATTGCAACAAGGACTTTTGAGGTCCTCGCAAGGGCCAGGCCTTGCAGCGCCCAGACATTCTATACTTCATACCCTTCCTGCCAGCCACTGTCGTCTTCCAAAAGCTGGAGAGAGACAGCTCGCCTTGGGGACCCTGTCTTCTTCAACACATCTCCGCCGTAGGCAGCAATCCCGCCATGACCTTGCTCTCTATGTTAGTTATTAAAAGGGGATTGGATTTTAGTAGCTTAAGTCAATAAAACTTTTTTTTTAAAGCTCCCTAGCATAAAGTGAGACCAAACAGAATGCAAAACGGATACATTTTTAGGCGGGGCTGGAAATCTCTGGGATGCTCAGTGTGCTAAAGGCACGGTGAGGATAATGCAGAACAGTGCTGGGAGCTGGTTCAATTTAATGTCATCACTTTTCAATGAAAGGAACGTATTTCCTGAGTAGTAAATGGGTGTATTATTTGTGGCAGATTTTTTCTTTTTTTGGTCAAGGGAGCTTTTCAGACATCTGGTTGCAAAGACAAATGGAGTATATATATTTGTGCTGCTTTTCTGTGCACGTGTTCTTGTGACACACGTTTAGCTCTGAGGCCTGATGTCTGGCACCAGGGAGGGGCGGGATTTGGAAAAGAAGTAGGGAGGCCTTTCAGGTTTTGTGGTCTGCATCCATGGATCTCCTGGTCTGAGTGGGGTTCAAGGCAGGAGGCATTTTGGGGAGCTACATCTGGGGGAAAAGACTAGCTTGAGGGGGAGCAAATGCAACTGAAAGATCAGAGTTGTGTGGTTTAAAATTTAAAGATGGTACGGGGCCAGCATTGTGGCGTAGCAGGTAAAGCTCCACCTGCAGTGCCAGCATCCCCTATAGGCACTGGTTCGAGTCTTGGCTGCTCCACTTCCCATCCAGCTGCCTGTGAATGGCCTGAGAAAAGCAACAAAAGATGGCCTAAGTACTTGGGCCCTGCTACCCATGTGGAAGACCCGGATGAAGCTCCTGGCTCCTGAATTCAGCCTGGCCCAGCCCTGGCCATCATAGCCATCTAGGAAACAAACCAGTGGATGGAAGATATTCTCTCTCTCATCCTCTCTGTGTAACTGACTTTCAAATAAATAAATATAAAAAAAAACCTTAAAGATGGCACATTGCAGAAGATAATACTAGGAAACTCGCCACTACAGGTGACGAAAAGATGGATCTGACCTATGACCCTGAGCTACTTGGATTCCCAACTCAGAAGATGGCCTGTGAGCTATTTCGAAAGCAAAAGTTGTAGCTTGTGTTTAAGCCCTGTTTTGTAACACACGGGTGTTCTCTCTAAGTCCCATTACCATAGTCAGCTGGCAAAGGGCCAGTTACAAACCTGTATGGGAAGAGGTTGGGCAGTGCGTTCATGGCAGGACAGACAGGAACACCTGCCCTGACCCCTTCACCAGGGTTCATCACTCCTCTGGCAACCCGTGTGTGAGAGATGTTAGGCTTTGCTGTACTAACAAATTACACCCAGCTCTCTGTGTCTTGCCTACTAAAGGTTCATTTCCAACACAAATTTGTGGGCGTCTTGGCTGACTCAGGCAGCTATCTTCCACGTGGTGACTGGGGGCTCCACCCACTGAAAATCAATCTTATCTGACAGCTGCAGCAGAGGAAGGATGAGACCAGGGGGTTCCCCGAGACCCTCAAGGGCCTTGTGGGGGTGGGCGGCTCGTCACCGCCCCTGGCAGCCCACTGGCTGGAACTAGTCCTTTAGCCTTGCCAATGAGCGACAGCTGAGAAACGTGGGGGAGCATGTGACTATTTGGGGTTCAGCTACTGTTTCCAGCTCCATAGGGGAGATAGATGCCTAGCATTGGAAGGTCTCCTAAAATCGGACTGGCCTTTCCCCACAGTCACACAGTTATAGCATTGCAAGGGTCACTTATTCTAAAGGAAGGGATTGGTGTTGGCAAATATTAGTATCTCATTTCATTGAAGCGGAGCATTTGGGGCTGAGTGGTGGCCTTCCCAAATTTACAAGTTGAAGCCCTAACTCCCAATGCCTTGGAATGTGACTATTTGGGACAGAGGTGAATTGGAATGAGGCTATTGGTGATTCGGTATCTTTGTGAGAAGAAATTCGGGCACAAGAAAGGACCCAGACAGGAAAGACAGAAGAGGCAGTGAGAAGGTAGCCAAGGGGAGAAGCCTGCCCAGGAACCACACCTGCCAGCACCTTGATCTTGAACTCCAGCACCTAGAATCTTGAGGAAATATACTTCCATTGTTTAGGCCACTGGTCTGTGGTCTGGGGACGTGGGAACACGGGGACAAGGCCAATGGCAAGATTTGTATGTTCCACAAGTCTTCAAGTTTAGTCCCATGTGCTGAATTCCATTCACCCTTGCCCAGAAAGTTCTTTTTGTTGGTGTGAGATCCACCTTTCTAACGATCACCTGAGAGGTAGGCTCAGTGTGCACTGATTTTCCAGTATACCAAGTGGTCCTTTATGTACTGCAGAGGGCTGCCACTGGATTCAGTACACGCCCAGGTAGTAAATACTGCAGGCTTGGTGGATTACCTACCATGCAGCCTGTTGCCTGTTCTTTGTTTCCTGTCTTTTTCATGTTTGGGGTTTTGTAACTTAAAAATGTGAAAACCATTCTTATCTCGTGGACCTACAGTAAGGATCTGCATCAGGAGTTGGCCCTTGATTTAATCCACACAAGAACTCTATGAAGCGTCACATTTGCTCGGTTTTACAGGTTGGGGTAGGCAGCTCACCCCGTTCAACAACCAGGGCTTCTGCAGTCATGCTCACATAAGTTCGTGTCGGGAATTCACTATCGGAGAGCTCCTTGAGTTTGTTGATCATGGTCATAAGCTGGTTAAGGATCTGGGAGGTACACAGCGGGTTCAGCCACAGCCTGCAATCAGACATTGCAAATTCGTGTGCCGGTTGGAGTTCCAGCTG